CTCTGGTATTGAGACTGATGAAAGGGGTAATGAATGAATAAACTCATCATAAGTATTATTTGTGTGTCTTCATCAAAAAGGGGGAAAATGTTATATTCTAGGTGTTTTGACGATCCTCACAAAAGCAGGGACCTGGTCCCTGGAAGAGTACCTCTGTCCAGATTAAAAGTGGTGCACAGCTGTAAAGCTATCTTTACAGTTGTCTTGTCAGGTTGAAAAGGGGTAATGAATGAATAAACTCATCATAAGGATTATTTGTGTGTCTTCATAAAAAACGGGGGAAATGTTATATTCTTAGTGTTTTGATGATCCTCACAAATGCAGGGACCTGGTCCTTAGAAGAGTACCTCCGTCTAGATTAAAAGTAGTTCACAGTTGTAAAGCTATCTTTACAGTTGTTTTGTCAGGTTGGTTGGTGAGATGTGTAGCGTACTTCACCAATAGGAGAGGAGGACAGAGTTGTTTCTTTAAGTGGTCAAAACCTGTGTTGGTAACTGATATATACAACAATAAACAAATAACATTATTCATTCAAGAAGAGAGAAAGCTAGCAAGTCTTTTTCAAGAACTCAAGCAGCAAATAACGCAGCAAGGGACCTGGTACCTGAAAGTCTGCGTAAGAGAAAAGGACGAAAAGATAGTCGTCAAAAGCTGCCAACTCTGATGTGGTTGGTGCACATCTTTTCATGACAGCAGGCTCTCAGCCAATAGCCTCGTCCCAAGGGTTTGTGTCCACTTTGATATAGTCTCTTCTCCAAAACACAAACTCAAGATTTTTGGCAAACAAAAACTCACAAGCTTAAAAAGAAAAATCTATATTCAAGGAAGAACAATACTCTTACTCAATAAAAGGATCTGATAAAGTGTTGAAGCATCTTTGTTGAGTTTGAGTTTTGTGTCTATCATTTTATAGGTTTTTGCATCTTGAAAATTTTCAAGCATACAAGCAAAGACCATCTTGGTGAAGTATTCTCCGGCAAGCACAACAAGGACCTAATTGAGCTGCAAACGTCAGAGTGTGTCTTAGGAGTTATACTTCCGTGCTTATATTGTAAATTTGTTCCTAATCTATAAAGGATTCAGATCTTTTGTTTCGGTTTTTAAAAGTCTAAGACAGTTAAGGTTGACTGGTTTAGTGGGAAACATTGTTGTTGCTTAGTCAAAGTCTAAAGTGTCCAGAGGGTGGTGGTTTAGTGGGCAGCCTGTGTGTTGCTTAGTTGAAGTCTAAGTTGTCCAGTGGTGATAGCTTAGTGGGAAGTGTGGTATCTGTTTAGGCTCTTCAAGTAATAGAGTTACTATGTGGTTGTGAGATTAATAACTTTTTCTCACATTGGTTGTAACTGTGGTTCACTTTTTCTTAAAGAAGATTAGTGAAACAGTTGAAAATCATGTGAGACAGGTCGTGGTTTTACTGTCACGACCCGAGTCTACACCCTGGACGTGGCCGGTACTCAAGAACCATTGCTGGTTCCCAAGCGAACCCTCATTTTGGCTGACTACAAGCGGAAGACTAACTTAAGCATGCAAAAGCTTAAAACTATATAAAATTCAACAAACACAACTTTTCAAAACTTTAACTCAAATGAACAACTTAGAATAAAATAATATATTCAACTCGCCATGAAATAGGCAACTTAAGTCTTTAAACATTTAATAAAATAAATGAGTAATACAGACTTCTCAACTATACTGA